GGCCGCAAAGGCCCCATCCCGAGCCACCACGCGCCCCCGCCGGTGCTGCCTGCCCCACCTCCGCGAGCAGGGGCCTCGACCTACCTTCTCGGGCTCGCGGTACTTGCTGTACCTGGAGGCAGGTCATGGAAAGCAGCCGTGGCCTGGGAGAGCTCCCCCCACCCGCCCCACCCGCGTCAAGGATACAGGTAGACCCCCTCCGGCTGCGACAGGATGAAGTCGGGGGACATGGCATCGCCCTCGATGACTGAAACAGAACGGGAGACCCAGGTCATGGGCCGAGCCTTGGGGTCTCCTCGGGCCGGGCGGGAGAGACCCCAGGTCACGGGTGGGACCATGCAAGTCTCTCGAGCCTGGCCGGAATCCCGGTGCTGGATCTAAGGCAAGGGCAGCTTTCCACGGACCCCGAGTATCTCAGAGTCTTTATGGAGGGGACGGCGGGAAGCAGAGACAGGGTGTCAGGCGGACAAGGGGTTTTCAGGAGAGCTCAGGGTCACCTCCAGCCCTGTCCCCGGCTCATTTTCTTTTCTTTTCTTCTTTTTTTTGAGTTGGGGTCTCACTCTGCTGCCCAGGCTGGAGGGCAGTGGCATGATCACAGCTCACTGCAGCCTCAACCTCCTGGGCTCAGGTGATCCTTCTGCCTCAGCCTCCCTGGTCTCTGGGACTACAAAACACACCTGGCTAAATTTTTGATTTATTGTTGAGATGAGGTCTCACTATGTTGCCCAGGCTGGTCTCAAACTCCTGGTCTCCAGCAGTCCTCTTGCCTCGGCCTCCCAAAGTGCTGGGATGATAGGCGTGAGCCGCCACGCTCACTTATGTTCAGTCTGAGCTCCCTGAGCCGCAGGGCTGCCAGCCTCCAGCCAGAGAGGCTCTTCTGAAGGCAAAGTGACCCCCGCCAGCGGGCACCCTGAGGCATCGGGCCCTGTCGTGCCTGGCTCCAGCTCCGCCTGCCCTTCCTGGAGCCTGAGTCTGGGACAGCCCCCCCCCATGCTGTGGAAGGCGGGACGCTCCCATGGGGGGCAGTGGGTGGGAGGGGGACTCCGGGGCCTGACAGGGCCTGTGCTCCCTCCCGCCGCCCCTGCCCTGCCGCGGAGGCTCGGCCTTCGC